CCCAGTTGACAGCTGGGAATCAAAGACATGTTTGGGAAATATTCAGAAGGATAGCAGCACCATCTCTCTTAGAGCAATAGGTTAAACGGTGATGGGTTGTGGGAGGAGCAAGGGTGATGTTCCCCTTTGAAAACATATGCCATTGCAAGTATCTGAATTCTGTTCCATATACCACTATGAACTGTGTTCCCAGTCAGGTCTCCCACAGTTGTGTTCATTGGCTCTCTGCCTGTCTTCTGGGCCAAGACTGGCAGCAGAGGTAAACAAAGATTGTAGGGAGCTGTGTTGATTACTAGAAAAAAATCCACAACAGCAATGCACTACTTCATTATTAGAACCAACTAAAATATCACTAAAAAGCAAACAAACTTTTGAGTTCCCCCCAAATTTTTCCATTAGGCTGAAAGTTTAGTACAACATTTTTTTAAGGCGGGGGAAGGGGATACCTAGGATATGAGGGAGAAGCCCCTAGTCTGCAGTTTGTAGAATCTTAATAGAATTTAGGGTTGCCAGGTCTGGGTTGGGAAATACCTGGAGATTTTTGGGGTGGAGCCTGGGGAGAGGCAGGACCTCAGCAGGATATAATGCCACGAAGTCCACCCTCCAAATGCAGCTATTTTGTCCAGGGGAACCTATATAGGTTGCCTGGAGATTAATTATAATAGTGGGAGATCTCCAGGTACCACCTGGAGGTTGGCAACCACAGGTAGCCTTGAATTATCTGTTGCTAGGTACAAAACAGATTTGAATATGCATCAATTATAAAAAGGCAACAGTTAATCAGACATCTTCCCATTGGGCACCCATAAATATTCTCCAGTCCAGTTTCCCTAAAAAGCAGAGGTAAATGCAGCCTGGGAATATGGATTTTCTGTGAGAAAATATTGGCAAGGGAACATAAATACTACATGCTGCCCACCTTAAATTGCATTTCTAGTGCAGCTACACTGTGTTTCAAAAGAAACATGGAGAAAAAGAATAACAGGATCTACATGTAAAGTATAGTTCCACACTAAAATCTTCTGGCTTTCTATCCCTTTTCTTTAAGTACCCAAATTTTGCAAAAAGAATCCCTACAAAACCAAACTCTAGTACTGCCCTCTAGTGGAACACCAATCTTATCTTTATGATTAAGCTCGTAGCTCTTCTATAGTAATATTTTGAACGACAGCAAAAGAAAATCAAAACAAGAGAAAGGAAGAAAGAAATGCAACTATTTCATTTTAAAGAATAATTTATTACTACAAAACAATTTGATCCCTTTTCCTCTCTCTTTCAGAGAACCTGGGATAACTTATTCCCATTTTAACACCACATTTATATTGGGCTTTCTCTCTCTCCCATTTTAAGAATTGTGGTAATTTAATAAAGGATTTGAAAGTGGACCAAAGGAAAAGAAGAAAATTGGGTTGGATTAGTCCAAAGAAAGAAGTGGAGGGGTCAAAGTTCCTATGGAATGGTTTGAGATGGAAGAACCCCCCTCCCCCCCTGTCCTTCAATAGAAGGAAAAATAGACCTAGATACAAAGCCTGGCAGAGAGCAGGAAAGGTGGGGTACTTTCTCGGAGCTCAGTTCTGAAGGTGATCCAGCTGTAGGCCTTAAATGTGCCCTGCAGGACATGGTAACACTTCCCATGGTCCTCTGCTGTAAAGTGACCACAGGAGCTGACTTGGGCATCAGGAATATGATGGAGAAATAGAGGATGTTGGTGATTTATTTTGGGCCCTATCAGTTTTCTCTGGCACTGAAGAGGTCTTGCTTCAAGCAGCTTATGTTATATGGATCAAGGGAGCTGTCTTCAAGAACATAATGGGTGAAACCAACAATTCACATAGCTAAGCAGTCTGTTTCCAACAGAGTAGAGCCACATGTTTTGGGAAGTAACAAGCAAGGCAAAATGGTCCCTCTGTTTGGATCCAGCAGCCAACTCTATATAATTGCCTGTCTAAATAGATCTAACCTTCAGGAAGTTGTCAAATTCTTTAAGAATCTATGTAAATTGTCACCAGATAGGCTATTTGTAGGTTGTGATAAACCATTTACCTGTAGTTACCTAGTATCAGTTTTCTACCGGTTTCCTTAGATTACTGAAATTCTTTTGTTCTGATTCAACATTTCCCCCTTGTTTTAATCTTTCTCTCCACATTACACAGGATTTTTTTTTTAAAATAAATCTGTATATGCGCTCCACAGTCATATTCGTCAAGGCAATGGTTTGGAAAACCATCATTTGTTTATTTATTGCACCCAGAAGATGATCCATGTTCATTTTTAGTTGTGCTTTTGCAAAGAAGAGGTCACCTTTCTGCCCTTTTTCCAACTATATCATTTTTTAAAAAACACAAAACCCTCTAGAATTGCACAAGTTATTCGGGTCAACTGCACAAATTATCCAGAATGTAGATATATCTTAGTTTCAGATAATGACTTTATCAGACATATGGATTCCATTATCAGACTGGCCATAAATTCTGTCTGTGTGAGCGCTGGGGATCCCGGGGTTCCAAGACTGCCAAATAGGAACTAAGAAGACTCGGGGTGGCTTTTTCTTGCTGGCAGCGCATCCTTGAAAGGTGCCTTGTTCTTGCCATGGGGGGGCTGTCGTTTGCTGAATGCAGACATAAGCCCCTAGCTCTCAGGAGGCAGCACAGGGTTCCTGTTGTTGACTCCCATTATTTCAACTCCTGCACATGGGCTCAGAGCTGGTTCCCTGGGGCAGCTGCCCATCCCTGCAGGAGAACTTCTGATTTTGGTCCAGGCTCACAGTCCTGCTGGGCCCTTGCTCATCTCCAGGCTCTCCCGTTGTCTCAGAGAAAGTGAAGGCCAGGCCCTGTTATGGCCCTAGTCTTGTTTCTGGGTGATAGTGTCACGAATGCACTCATACAGATACATGTACTTATCCTAGAGAGAGAAAGAGAAAAGGTTGTGAGAGACCATAAATAATGAAAGGGTAGCTCTGCTCTCACCTCTTACGAGCAGTCAGAGCGTGTGTGATATTATTCCAGCAGGAAAAAGGGAATCACATCCCAGAGGCCCAGGAATTAGGCCTGAAAAACTATAGTAAAACAGCATATATGTTTAGCTAAAGCAAACTACAAAGGAAGCAGAAAAAGCAGGGGCACCAAACCACACTATGAGCCCCTTACAACTACTCTGTGGTTACTGGGATTGTAAGCCTTGGTAACAAGCCAGAGTTTAATGGGCACCTCTACAGCTCAGCAAATCAATCTCTAGAAAAAAACCATATTCTTCCCTCCAGCTGGCCTCTGTAAGGCAATGCCAGGGAGTTCTGTGCTTAAAGAGTATGTTGTAGTATGGAAAGCACTCTAACCCACAAAGACCTCTTCCCTGCCACATTGGGGGCAATGATGTGTACAGTTCCGGTCACTGTGGCCCATTATGCATGCACATCTTACTGCAGATTTTCAGAGCAGCAAGCCTTTAATCTTGACTTTGGATTCTGTGCCCGCCTTATGCTCCATTCTTTTTCCTCTGGTGTATCTATTCTGCAGCTACAATGCAAGAAAACACACTTTTCTAAATCTGGGTGGAACATCACTTGTGATGTGTGGGGGTAGTGTCCAAAGGTTTTTTGTTTTTTTAATTCACACAATTGCCCTATTGTACCTGCACAGTAGCATCCAGCAACCACCTTCCATTTAAATCCATGTGGTTCAGGTTTTGTACAAGCATTTTAGCAGTAGTTCATTGAATGAAAGGGAACAGAAAGGAATGCAGGCAAAGGGGGAAAACGATGTTGAAACTGACAAGCCTTTTTTTGAATGACAAGCGTTTTCAATATTGCGGGATTCTCTACTGAGTTATCAGCCACTGTGAAATGGGAAAAAAAAACCATGATCGCATAATATTGAGTGTGTAGAATGCACAGTAGAACCCACTGACACTGGCATTACAAGCTGTGATAGCTGGCAGTGTGTGTGTGCGTGCTTGGGCAAAGTTGGCTGCAACTCCACCATGCTTTGCACAGAGCTGCAATTTGTATGGGGGAGGAGTCCTCTGGCAGAAGCTCTGGAGAGCTTTTTTGGTCTTGTACCACTAAATTGAAACAATGGGGAGGTATTTCTGCCAATGCCCTAGCGCAGCTGCATAGCTATGCTAATTTCCTGCCTGTCCTTGCAAATTTGCATGATTTTCTCTTTGTGATTCTCTAATTTGATCCTGCATACTGGTCGTGATCTTGGCAGTTTTTAAAAGCCTGCCCTGTGCAGATTGTGCTCTTCCTCCAAACAGATCAATCCCAAGTAATTCTTAAGTTCGGTGGTTCGCAGAAGGCCCATGTGGCTCAGCAGCCATTTTAATGTTAGGCTTCTGGAGACTGCCAAAATGGTCCCCTTAAAACACTTTGTTCACTAAAGCACAAAAGGGAAAAATGTTTTCAAAGCTTTAGGCTTCCCATCCCAGTGTCTCTCTCTCTTTACAACTCAAGTCAATTTCATTCCGTGCTGGCCATCCCCCCTTTATTTTGTTTGTATGTAGCACTGAAATCTTTTTTTTTTTTTTTTGCTGCCCTGGGGACGTTTCCATTTGCCTCCCTCCATACCAGCAGGGAACAAAACCTTGCACAGCTCCTTTTTAAACCCCCCCCCCCAATTTATTTTTTTTAATTCAGCGATCCAAGATTGGTGATAGTCTCATATTGTTAGATTCATCCCGCTGGCCAAAAAGATTTAAAATTTAAAAATGAGGGGGAAATGAAGCTTGTACACCAATGAAGGGGGGGGAGGATGGCAGAAGGTGCAGAGTGGGCAGAAAGACCTCAGTGTGGGTGGCAAAGTGGGCAGAAAGACCTTTGAGGGGTGGCAAAGGGGCAGGGGAGAAACCCGAGGGAATCTGTACACTTTTGAATTATCTTCGGCTTAGAAGCTAAACAAGGGGAAAATTGGCACAAAACAACTCTCAGAAAACCTGGGGAAACAGTAACCCAAAAGTGAACTGAGCACTGAAGAGAGGAAAATCAATGCAAAATGACAGGCATGCACAGTGAAAGCAAGAGAAAACACCCAAGCATAATAGGCCTGTATCTCAAAAAAGATATTACAGAACTGGAAAAAGTGCAGAATAGGGCAGCCATGATGATTAAAGGTTTGAAGGATCCATGATTAAGGGTCTGTGACTTTTCACTTTAGAAAAAAAGATGACAGGGGAGGTTTATAAAATTATGCATGGAGTGAAGAGAGTGGATACACAGACCATCTTCCTCTCCCATAATACTAGCATTCGGGTACAGTCAATGAAGTTGTCAGGCAACAGATTCTAAACAGACAAAAGGAAATACTTCTTTATTCAATGAGTAATTAAATTGTAGAGTTCGCTGTCAGTGGACATAATGATGGCCACAAGCAGAATAGACAGATCCAGTCCATCCATGGCTATTAGCCATGATGACCAAAGGGAACCTCCGTATCAGTGCACCGAACATAAAATTAAGCAAACTCCGGAGGATGGCGGAAGACAGGAGGGCCTGACGTGATATGGTCCATGGGGTTGTGAAGAGTCGGACTCGACTGTGCAACTGAACAACAACAACAACCCTCTGCACAGGCAGCCAATGGCAAACCATCTCTGAACATCTCTTGCCTTGAAAACCCCACGGAGTCACCATAAATCAGCTGTGACTCGACAGCAAAACAAATAAGCAAGCAAACAAACAAACCTCTGCATACTAGTGCTAGGAGGCAGCATTGGGGGGAAGCCTTGGCCTCTCTGCCCTGTTTCTTGGCTCATCAAGAAACTGATTGGCTGCTGTGCGAAACAGGGTGCTGGATTAGATGGTCTAATCTCGCAGGGCTCTTATGTTCTTATGCTGATGCATATCTTACATTACTGTGCCACCCCCCTTTCTGTGCACTTGCATGTATGTGTGTGTGCACACATTGCTGTTGGGTACCAGGAACCTATATGTAAAATCTATGCAATGTAAATTGTATTTCATGTTAGTGTAGAAATCAATGTGGGGTTATACAGGGGACTAGAACAGGTGACTTCTAGTGACAGTACATATGAATCTCAAGCTTCAGGAAAATCTGCTGATTAAAAACAACTTAAGGCTGCAAAGTTGCAAGTAAGTAGCACATTTATTATTCTATAGCTTGTTGTGTGGCACTTGGTTTCCCCCTTCTTTCACTACAGCACACATCTGGAATTGTTTACATTTTTAAAAGTGAGCAGCAGCATCAGTATCCTTTTTTTTCTGACAAAGCAGTCTTTGGCTCACAGATGGTTATGCCACAGTAAAAATCTTAAATCAATAAGGTCCCATAGGGTTCTGTTAATTTTGCTGCATATTGATGGGATATGGGAAGGGCCATTGCTCAGTGGCAGAGCATCTGCTTGGCATGCAGAAGGTCCCAGGTTCAATCCACGGGGCCTCCAGTTAAAAGGACCAGGGAGTAGGTGATGTGAAAGACTTCTGCCTGAGATCCTGGAGAGCTACTGCAAGTCAGAGTAGACAGTGCAGACCTTAATGAACTAATGGTGTAAGGCAGCTTTATGTGTGTGTTCACTATCTCACAGAACGAGAACATGTGAACTGTCCCACAACAATTTGAGAAGGCTTTTCTTGATTGTATGTAAAAGCCTGAAGAAAGAAACCTTTGAAGAAAAGAGATCAAAAATGTTTAAGAGGACTGCATGAGAAAGGCCTGAACCTTTTCCCACCCCTCCGTGGAAGTGGGAGAGCTGGTGTGTGTGTGGGGGGGGGACAGGGGGGGGACAAAGCTCTAATGGAAAGTCCAAAGGCTTTGCTACAGAAGATCAGAGTACATGAGTCATCCTGCCCACTTCCTGCAATGCTGGTGAAAAGGCAGAAGGTGGCCTGTGGAAATTGCTCATGAGACTTTTTTGATGTTTTCTCCCTTCTCTTATCTCAGTCGGAGTGCCACCCACAGTTGACAACCACAAAGGCAACAGCACAGATAAGGAGGAAACACAGAAGGATCCCCTGAGCTATTCTAAGGTAATGAGCCCCATGAGTCTTTCAGGGGACAGACTCTAGAATAGCAGAGTTCCACCCCTTGGCCTTGACAGGGATCTTGACTGAGGCCCTTTGTTGCTGCACATGTGGCCCTCTTGCCCCTTACGTACCAGTGTCGGTGTCATCAGGCAGCAGCTCCTCACCAGCCTCAAGACCACCCCATACACATCCACACTTTTCTCTCCTTTCATCTGCTGCAGCAAGGTGTCCAAGGCAATCAGCATGCCCATTTGACCTACGCCTCCCGAACTGGGAAAAGATAAGGACCAGTGGGGGTAAGCAGATTGTTCTTGCAGTACAGGGAATTTACACAGAGCTATATTCTGCCCACGCCCACTCTGAGGCACCCATTCTTCATGCTCCCTCATCCCAGCAGATTCAGAGCAACAGCCAGCGGTGGGGACAGAAGCCAACCTGCAATGAAGGAGCAGGGGGCTTCTACGATGTGGCACCAGCTGCCTGATGATGGTGAGGAAGCCCACCAGGACCTTGGGGGCGGGCTGTTCCTCTCCTGCCCACAATGGGAAAAGGAAGCGTTGCAGCACCCTCTCCTTGGCCTTCTTCTCCTGGCAAAGCAAGGACAGAGGCTGTGATTACTGAGCATGTATAGACAAGCAGGGAGTACAGAACAAGGTACTAATGAAGAGCTCTGTATAAATGAAAAGCGTACACACAAGCCAAAAGAGACCTGCCTAATTCAAAAGTATAAATGTTTGTACATTGACAAAGAGTGATCCAATTTTTAAAAAATCATAAAAATTACGACAGCCATTTCCATTTTAAGCAAATTTTGAAGCATTCCTCCAGCCTAAAAGGTATTTCTTCCAACTTAAGAGGCTACTCTGCCAACAAAAGAACCACTGAAGTTGAAAGAAGGCTCGTCAGACAAGAGGAACTTTGGTGAGTGAAATGGCCAGTAGCACAATGGCAATTAATGCCAAACTGCTTCTTTCTTGTCCCTTCCCAGGCAGGTAGAAGATTGAGAACATACACCAATGTTTCTTGACTCTTACATGGCCACTCTTCTTAATCCCTGGCACTAATTTCTGATAAGGCCTACTAACTGTATTTCTGATCCCCCAACTTCAAGTTGTTTGCTACCCTTGCTGGCTAGATTTTCCTCAGCCTTTGGGGGATAGATTAGGCAGAAAGACGGTGAGAAACCTGGACAGAAGTAAGACTGAGACAAACAAGTGAATGTAAAAGGGTGTTGTTAAGTATGAGATGGAGACAGATTTGGGAGTGAAGAGGTACACATAATTTGGCTTGCACACATGAGTTATCTTCAAGTATTTGTTCTATAAGCACCTGCCTTTTGCAGGGCATTTAATGTCTGTGGCTCACTGGGAACTGAAGTGCAGGAGTGCACCGGCTAATGTATGTGAAAAAGATACAAATATAGTCTGGTCTTTCATCAAGGAGATTTCTTAGCAGGATTTGAAATCCTCCATTTTACTAGCCTTTTACTAGCATCTGCTGTGTGGCAGTTATTTAATGTGGCACTCATAAGTAGTACTCAGGATCTGAAAACAATACCATCTCATCAGAAGGGTGGCAGAAGTGTTTGAAGTCCACATTAAGTGTTAATCTTAAATAATTTTTTTATAAAATGATATATCACTGGTATATGTCTCCAGATTGGCTAAAATGCATAAACATACTAATGTTGGAAATCTGAGCAGCATGAAAGGATATTTTATCATATGTGGTGGACCTGTAGCAAAGCTAAGAAATTCTGGATACAAATACATAATCAATACAGAAGATTTTAAAAACTATCATACAAATGAAGCCAGAAGCTTTTCTTTTAGGATTGATGGATAGTCAGCTTGAAAATAGTTATGGAACTTTGTTTTTGTATATGACTACAGAAACGAGGTTACTTTATGCCCTTCCCCATGGGCTTAATTAACTCTTTTTTGAATGACTAAACTTTCATTTTCCCCTGTGTCTGCTGATTGGTTTCCATTGGATGGATTGTGGAATGGCTCGACACATTCCTTTCCCATGCCCATGTACACATCCCCCCCCCCCCCCGCTCACATACGCATTTCAGTCGGAGCTGAACGCACGGCCACCCTGAAACAGCCTTCTCAGGGCCTTGTTGGATGGTCAGCATCTCCGTGCAGACAGGTTCTCCCTCAGAAGGCCAGCAGGTGTCATCTGGAGCCTACACAAAAACAGGAACTGCAAGGTTAGCATTTCATCAACTTCTTGCTGGGCATGACAGCACAACTACTACTGGCAATTCAAAATGACTGTGCCTGGCAGAGAGCCATCTGTGTGGGAACTTGCAAATCACACCTGGCTTAAAGAAGAATGCAGCCTCTTTCACTATTAAAAGGAGGATGCAGAAAAATGAAACCAGCACACCAACATGCAGCAAAATCCATATGAATGGCTGGTTCTGACACAACATTTTCCATGCAAATATTTCTGGGACTTAATTTCAATAACATTCCCAGGGAGGCAATGAGCAATGAAAGGAATTTAGGGCCCCTTTAATCATTATTCTAGCACCATGGAAAGCACTTCTATGTTGTTTCACCCACACCTTACGGTAATGTGATCTACAAATGTGAAGGCAAGGCTGCTTAGTGTGGGTCTTTCCCATGGAAATGGCACCCAGATGGCAAGGAAGGTGCTGACTGTATGGGAAAGAACCCTGCAAAGCAGCCCTGCCTGTGTGGCTGCACTGTCACATCTGCATGGGGTTTTTCTTTTGATGGAAATTGTATCCCACATGACTGTAATTGAATGAAGAGAGATTCAGGTGGGTAGCTGTGTTGGTCTGAAGCAGCAGAACAAAGTTTGAGTCCAGTGGCACCTTTAAGACAACAAAATTGTATTCAAGGTATACGCTTTCGTGTGCATGCACACTTCTTCTGATAAATTGAAATGGAAGTTACCAGTCTATCTATATATATCTCTATCTCTATCTCTCTATCTATCTATATATATATATATGTAGAAGATGAGCAGCAAATTAGCATAAGCATAATAAACAGTGTTTAACAGATGCAAGGACCAAACTGGAATAACAAGCTTGGTTTATATGGTCACTGAAGAAGTATGCATACACACGGACGCTTATACCTTGAATAAAACTTTGTTCGTCTTAAAAGTGCCACTGGACTCACACTTTGTTCTGTAATTACGTGAGACAGACTTTCCTGAAGGTTCTACATACCCAACTCCTCCCATAATTCTGTTCTGTTGAACCACTGAATGCCATGATCCCACTGAATGCTTGTGTATCTGCATATAACTGGCTTACCAGGCTGCTTGTCCGTCCAGATGTTAAAGTAATGATGGTGTGGACTCCATATTCCCAGACCAGGCCCCAGAACTCCTCCAGGGCTAGTTTATCAGGTCCTTCAATAGCTATATAATCCTTGGCTGAGTTGCAGCCCTGCAAAAAACAAAGTAAAAACTATATAAAGCTAGTCAGGACAACTATAGCTCAGATGATAGGAGGCACAGCATAGTGCTATATCTCTCTGGCCTCATATTGTACACTCTTAGAACATACACTCTGGTGATGGGAACCTCACAGAAAGAGCACTTTGCAGAGAGAAGGAACACATTGTATAAACAGCCAAAGGAGAGAACAAATATTGTTGTAGCAAACCTTTAACAATGCTCTGCTTAGATCCCTTACATGTACCTCACCTCAGGACACAAGCTCTGTCTGTCACAAGAGTATTGTTAGTATGCTGCTCTTTGATTGGTTGAGGAGGGGAGATGCTGTGGACTTGAATGCAATTGCTATGCTCTCTGCACTTTGACAGGGGAGGGCTTCTTTCATAGATTTCTGTGGAGTGGGCAAAGGATATCAACTAGCAGTTCCAGCACTGCACTGGCACTTGTGATATGCCAATCTCAGGGCCTTTGGGTACAGCTGATCATGTTTTAACATCTGATTATCATCAGTGGTGCTCATTTGTCTGGGATATATTTCTGCCAATGGAACAAAAAATAGTGTTTGCCATTTTGGAACAATTATACTCTTCTGGGTCATATAATCTCAGCAGCGCTGCCAGGCAGCTATTATAAAGTGGTTTTGTATTTGTGCATTTCATTTTAGCTAACTTTGAGAAACACCCTTTTACACTTGCAAGTTTACTGATCATTTCACAAATATTATTTTACGTTTAAAGCCCATATTCAAAACATTTCCTTCGTGTCATTTGCATGAGTACTGCATTTCCACACATTTACCTATGCTTACAATGAAAATGTTGATGCAGTAGCTCCAAGACTGACTGATCCTTATATAATCCTTTTCCCAATCCAACAGCAACTGGGTTACCTTTGAGCTGCATGCTATGAGATATTTTATTAATGTATACTTAGAAATATATGTGAAAGCTAAATCAGGGGAAACTCTGTACATTTAACATGAGTAAGTGATTCCTCCCTGAGCTGGATGCTCAGGCTAGCCTGGTCTCATTAGATCTCAGAAGCGAAGCAGGATTGGCCCTGTCTAGTATTTGGATGAGAGACCTCTAAGGAATACCAGGCAGGCAATGGCAAACCACCTCTGAGCATCTCTTGCCTTGAAAACCCTACGGGGTCGCCATAAGTCAGCTGTGACTTGACAGCAAAAAAAGAAGTGATTCCTACCACAAGGGTGCAACATGCATCATATACTATTTGGAGGACCAGAAAAAGGAAAAAAACATAAGGTATAATGAACTCACAGGGATGAACCAAACATGTGAGAGGTCTGAGAAGGGATCCCGATCCAGTGCTGAGAACTTCACTTTGGCATGGTCACCTGGAAAATACCCTTTGTGTGAGTGGAACGGCACAGGTTTAACACAGTATATCAGGCTCAGCTTAAGCTGAGAACCAGTAAGGAATTGTGATGTGGAACAGAAAAAGACTGAGAAATTCCATGCAGGCCCTACAAATTCCATGAAGGGTAGTATAAGAGCTTGGACAGACCAATTTTCCTCTTCCCATTTTCCTTTTTGTTTTCTTTATTCGGCATGTACTTTTTCTGTAAGAGGCCCACTTTGGTATTATATACAACAAGAAGGGGGACCCATAATACTCGCGGGGGGAGGAGAAGCTCCATGGGAGAAGGAAGCAGCCACAGGTGAGCCTTCTCCCCTGCCCCCCCATCCCTGGCACGCATGGCGAGGCCCACGCCTCTCCAAGCTTCCCCCCTTCCCCAGCGGTGGCAGCGGCAGCGAGGCCTTGCTGGCCCACCGAATTTTCTCCCTTTTTCTCCCCCCCCCCTGCCTCCCCGGCGGTGGCAAGGCCTTGCCAGCCTGCCAAACTTTCTCCCTCCCCCCCCCCGGGCGGCGGCGAGGGCTGAGCAGCTTACAGCCACCAGCCGGCCAAGCCTTCTCCCCCTCTCTGGTGGTGGTGGCGGCGGTGGTGAAGCCGTTCTAAGAGCATTCCCTGTGCATCTCCCTGCCTCCCAGGTGCCCCCGATTTAGATATCCGCATGCAGGGGGCACCTTGGGAATTAGATATATAGATATCATTTCCCACCTCTACATTCTCCAGGATTCTATAAATACTCAAAGGCTTGAGATTGCTAATTTCCCCTCCCACACCATTTCATTTAACTGTCAGTTTCCCTCAACATTCCATGCTTCCTGGAGCATAGCATATTTGGTCCTCAACTGACCTTTTTGTTTATTTGTTTGTTTCTTGTGGTTAATTTACAAAGTCATATTTTTCTGCACAGCTGGAGATTCTACCTTTCCTTGCTGCTCTGTTGACCCTTGTTTTAATGGCCTGATTTTGTGCCTTTTGTGATCATAGTGGGGAGGCACTCGCTTTGTTATTAGGAATAACAACAACAACAACAACAATAATAAATCATCTGGGGAAAGCAAGAAGGCATTGGATACTCACGGTTTATCTGCATGTAAATTTTAAAACGCATACTAGCTCCCTCCCAAATTAGAATGCTTTTGCCCAAAATAGTACAGCTCTTTCCAATGCTATGTATGTTCTCAGAGCTCTTTGTGGGTTTTGGCATAATTCATATGCAATGATTTCTCTATACCAATTCAGCTTCTAATGCACAAAACAAAACACCGTTACTCACAGGGGATCTTGCTGGAGCAGAAGTTGATCTGTTGGTTGCTAGGAAGTGATGCAGCAGAACTGACCTCCTCTTTTGCCGCCTCCAAAAGCATCTGCTAGAGAAAAGCAGGGTAAGAAAGGAAGGGAGAGACTGGAGAGACTCTGGCTCAGAGATGAAGTTTCCACTAAGACTAGGCATGGCAGGATCCCAGAGGTCAGGGGAGAAGGGTTGAATCCAGGAGCTTCAACAAGTGATTGTAGACAATAACACAGAGCCAGCCTTGCAGTACAAAAGGCTATGTCAAATGTGTACCTTAGGGTTGCCAAAGGGTTACCAACTCTGGGTTGGAAAATTCCTGGAGATTTGGGGGTGAGGTCTAGGAAGGGTGTTTGGGGAGGGGAGGGACTTTAAGCAGGGTATAATGCCACATCACCATAATGTCCACCCTCCAAAGCATCCATTTTCTCCAGGGAAATTGATTTATGTTGCTTGGAGATAGTTGTAATTCCAGATCTCCAGGCCCCGTGTAGAGATTCGCAACCTTACTTGGTGCTGAAGCCCTAAAATGACCTAAAATGACCTAAAATGACCTAGAGACCGCCTCACTGCTGCAGGTGAGGGATCGGGACTGGAGTGGGGGACATGACGGAGGAGCAGCAGAGGAGCCCTGCAGCCTTTTCTCCAGCTTCAGCTAGAAAATTAAGGGCAACATCCAGCTTGCAGGGTAAGAGATGATAATCTTACTTGGTAAGATTCCTGAGCACTAGGCATGTGTATGATATTCAAAAATCAAATAACTACATGGAAGGACTACATGGAAGGACAAATCAAATAACTACATGGAAGGACAATGTTAATCTCAGTATGGTAAATAATGATATTTGGTAAAGTTACACTGAGAATGCAGCATGTTTCTATTGAAACTGATGGAAACAAAAGTAATAATGGAAACCAGGATTAATGGTGAAGTTTTTTAAATGGAAGGTAAATTAAAATGAACATTTAAAAAAATGAATTCCCTTACAGAAGACCTTCCTATACAGTCAGCAGAACAGAAAGTGGCATTTTCTTATACGTCCAAGGGCAGAGCTGATCACAGACACCACTGTAGGGTCTTGTGTATAACCATCTGTGGTGGCTTATCCACACATATAAATCACTGCTGCTGTCATCCAGTGATGAACATGTGGATCATCCCTAAGAAATTAGTAGGTACAGCCTAAGACCTCTTATACTCATGAACAGGTATTTTTATTTATTTATTTATTTATTTAATTTCTACCCCTACCCTCCCTGCCGAAGTAGGCTCAGGGCAGCTTACATAAAACACTAGACAATTAAAACAAATTTATTCAAAATCACAACAGAGTACACATAAAAACATACAAAGTGCTAGTGCTGAATTAATTCATATCTGATGGCAGGCAAGAGCAGCCTCCAACAATACAAACAAACCATCAACTGCCAGCGTAATCTGGGTTATATCTGGTAGGGGTGATTTTTGCACTAGCTTCTTGTACAATTTTGCTGGACTCTTGTCTCCCCCTTCTTGACTAAAACACATTGCGCAGAGTGGGGTTTTTTTTGGGGGGGGGCATCTGGAATACTGGTACCTTAACATGGGCATTCTTATATTGTATGTATGCTTGATACAATTGTGACTGCTTAAGTTGCCTATTTATTGCCTCAGTAAACTCTCTCTGACTTCACCATAGTCAGGTTCTCATTACTTCCTCTAAACTTGCTCTAGAAGCTACGTTTGTTACTGCTCCTTTTACTGCCATTTTTGTGTGCCATTGCCCAGTCTGGACATATTCCCTTAAGCCTAATACCCCGATTTCATCACCTCTTGGAAGCTAAACAGTGTCAGCTCTGGTTAGCATTTTGACGTGTCAAGGAAACGAGAAGTTAACCTCCGTGGGTCCCCAGGGTAAGGGTGCACAAGAACCAGACTGCTCTTTTGTTGTGTCCACTGACCGCCACCTGAGGTCAGCACACACACCTGAGCTTCAGTCCTGGACAACAATGGGGACTAGGATCCTAGCCCTACACTGGGGAACCAATGGGAACCATGGCGGGAGATTCAAACCCACCAATGGTGACCAGGGGGGTGTCCCCAGGTTTGTATATAGTTGGCCTGCCGGCCGTTTGTTCTCCCTTCTTGTTGTGTACTGAATAAAGCGTGCTATGCACCACCACGCAGTCTATCGTTTGTACGGGCGACCACCCACTACATAACATCTTTATATAATAATATTAAATTTGTTCAAAAGTCTTAAGAGAAAATAGTTATTGCCAACACATTACTCAGAAATCATACAGAACAAAAAAACAATAAAGCTAGCTTCACTACCTAATGCTGTGGCACAAACCTCAGTTTTTATAGAAAGCCTGCAAATCAGCATTGTCAACATCTTTAGCAATTGCAAAACATAATGCAGGCCTCTAGTCCAATGAAAATCTCAGGAAGCTACCCCCCCCCACACACACACAATTTAATTATAGCTTTTGGCCCAGCAGGTCAGGCAGTGGTGATATCCAATCACAATGTTTCTCTAAGAGGAACCTCTGGAAGATTTCATCACCTCTCACAGCTCAGCTTCCCCCCTCCCATCACAGGTTCCCATGAGAAACCAATTAACTGTCCTCCATCTTTAGCTTTGAGGATGATAAGGAGCCTGCAGGCCACCTGCAGGTCAGCCCAGGCCCAACACTGTTCACATTAACCCTATGGGGGGATGGTAGAGAAGATGCTTTGCTTCACAGGATGGGAGACAACCAAGGAAGTCCAGGGTCACTATGCAGAGGCAGGCAATAGCAAACCATCTCTGAACATCTCTTGCTTTGAAAACCCTACGGGGTCACCATAAGTTGGCTGTGACTTGACGGCACTTTCTACCACCACCACTGCAGAACCTAAGGCACCAATTCCTCTAGTATAGGAGTGAAAGGCAGCAGAGGATTTTCCTCATGTGAATTTAGGCCAGATGGGACAACAGGCTATGTTCATACAGGCAGAGGCCTGGGGCACATGAATCTCTCCAACCACACATGCTAAAAGCGTAGCCTCAGCTTTGTACTGTACTATGACAGAAAGATCTGTGGCCTGAAGCTCTGCTTGAGCCTGTGGTGTACCTCACACTGATCACCACTACAAGCGCTCTGACATGGCCCACCCTTAACACTGCTTCCTTTGGTCTCCCCTTGTAACCGCCATGTCCAGCTCTTACCTCATACTCCCTCAGGAAGCCAGCATTGGCCTTGTAACTGTTCCTTGCATGATGCTGAACAAAGCTCTTCAGAGGGATGGGGTGGGAGCTTCAGAGAAATAGAACAAAACAATCTTTCAGCTCACCCCTTAAGTTAATCTTACACAAGCTGACAGATCTGCACAGAAAAGCTAGTGTCAAGCAGTAGGATACTCTATTTGTACAAAACTGATTGTGTGGTAGAGTCCTTCTTTCAAATGAACACATGAAGGTACCTTATGCTGAATCAGACCATTGGTCTATCAGGGTCAGTACTGTCTACTTTGACAGGCAGTGGCTCCTCCAGGACCTCAAGCTGAGGTCTTTCACATCACCTGATACTTTTAACTGAATATGCTGGGGACTGCACATGGGACCTTCTGCCTTCAAAGCAGATGCTGTACTACTGAGCCACAGTCCAGCTCCATCTAGGAAACAGTTTTGCTGTGTGGGATAACTGAGGAGAGGCCTATGTGAAGTGGGTTAATTTGGAAACAGAAGTTGAATGGAGACTTACAGATCTACTCCAGATAGGCCAATAAGTGGGTTTTCAGAGATCTTCTCTAGGATGCAATTGTGCAGGAAAATGTACTGCCCCTAGAAGAGAAGAGCACACAATTATCATTTACCCTCTGGTACTGGCTAGCAGCCCAGCACACTTTGAAGCAGAAAGACAACAGGATCTAATTATGGTAATGTACAACTGGGAGGTCCTTGGTCTGTATTCCAATGTCAGTACTGACTTTCTAGGTTGTCTAAATTGTTGTTCTTGGTCATTCCATGATCAGTGTAATATACCAACCAAGTCACCTGCTCAGGTGCAACAAAAAAGGCAAATGTAAAAGTCCACCAGTATACAAATGGCAGGTATAAATTAAATGCTCATCAGTACAACAGAAAAGTATTTTGGATATTTGTTTTGACCTAGCCAATGGAAAATGCTACCAGCGCACACACCTCACAGGGGTACGTTGTTGTTGCTATACCTGACATATTCAAAACTCTGGCTGTGAATTTAGCTCACTGAATATGCACAGTGAACCACTGAGGAGGTCCGTTGTCAGGAATAGTTCCTCCACCCTGTCCTACAGCAAATGGAGATGATTTGATCTTTTAGGAAGCCTCTGAATAACCTCTGCAATAGGAAGCAGGAAGATGCTACATCAGGTTAGTTAGAAGCTAATCTTTGGGGCTTCTGGAATATACTTCAAAATGTGTCCGTCTCCCTGAAGCTGCTTGTTTCATTCTTTTCCCTACCCAACCCTACACCATCCTATCCCTTCTGCTAGCTCCCCCCCCCAGTTTTCTGATTAGCCCTGTCTGTTTGCCTCCATTTCACTGATTATGATTAAAGTCTTGAGGTCTAGCTGTGTCCAAGTAAAGCCCCGCTGCATAGCAGGTGATATGGGAGTTTCAGCAATGGAATAGCCTCATATTTTCCTCAGTAAGCAGAATCATAGCTAGGTTTTCAGAATTAACCGAGGGCAGACTCTCATATGGACTATGTCCAGCTGTCAGATCTCCCGTAGAGAGGGGTGTAGCCATATGGAAGTACACAGGGCTATTTTTGGGCAGGAACACACAGGAACGGAGTTCCGGCTGGCTCCCATGTTGGCCACGCCCAGCAGGAACTCATTAGCATAATAGGCCACACCCAACAGCAGAAACTCATTCGGATTGGCTACAATTAGGGGTGTATGGCCTAACATGCAAAAAGCATGTTTTGACAACAAACAAGGTAAAGAGAATAAGAAGCAAAAGGTGGGTGTGGCTGGATGAGCACACTTATGGTAACATGGGGGTGTGGCCTAATATGCGATTGAGCTGTGCTGTCAGGGGTGTGGCCTAATATGCTAATGAGTTCCTGCTGTTGGGTATGGCCTATTATGCTAATGAGTTCCTGTTGGGCTTTTTCTACAAAAAAAGACCTGTAAGTACATGATCACCATGGTGTAGCAGGCCACCAGCTCTGGTAGTCTCTTGTAGGCAAATGCACCTCCAAATCTAGCTCGGATCATCCAGCATTCCTCACAAGTTTCCAGAGACATTCTCATCTGCCTGCAACAATGTTAATCACAATTTTTCAAGTTGCCTCTGGATCAGATTCTCAAACTAGCCACAAATAAATTTTGAATGGAGACCTGACCGAGGGAGGGGGAATCATAAGGAATGTAGTGGTTATCCTAAGGGGACACACAAACACATACACACACACATGAGGAAGCTGCTGGAACTCCACTAAAATGCCTGTTCTGAAAACAATTATCTCCAGTTAAACAAGAGCAGCTCCAGGACAAGATTCAGTGTTGATCTGGGCATTTGGAGAAATCAGGTGGTTATCACCTTCCTAGGCATATTCTACTTTAGACTGCAGATATAAGATCTCTTGTTTGAATGCCAGTCTTGCAAAAAATGGCCACGCCTGTGTATAGAAAGACAGTGTATCAAGCAGAAGGCTAGGCTAGAGCCCTTTATTTTGATACTCTACTTTTCTATGTGCAGGTAATTTTTAAACATATAGGGGCACACAGGATTTCTACCTGTGATCTGCAATATTACAGTCCCAGAAAGAAAGCAGCACCTGATTTCTCTGTATGTGCAGTTCAGCTCTCAGAAATTTGCCTCTGATGGTATAGCAGAAACCACTACTCAAAATCATTTTAGATGAGGATCTAATCATGAGAGCATTTTGGCATGGGAGTACTGTTTTTGCATATCAGCCTTGTGCATTTTGTTGGACTGCCACAGAGTTTCATGCATCTGGTTAGAGCAGCTGTCAAGATGCAAACTTCTTTAGGCTGTGAAGCTTATAAAGGCTCACTGGAAAGGTTAAGGCTCTGTTATATCCTTAAGAGATTCGGTAATGGGGCAGTGGAGGGGGAGGTCTCATATTCTCACCAGAGTCTGAATCATCACATGGCGGCTCATCCGTAGACTGTACATGGTGTTGAACACATCCACCATCTTCTCGTGCTTCAGCTGCTGCAGGAGCCGGTCAAGGGCAAGGAAGGTGCCTGTGCGGCCCACTCCGGCACTGCAACAGCAGAGTGGAAGAGGAGAGTTTAACAGGCTGCTCCCAACACAGCTCCGATGGCTCAGTTGTTTTGTTTCTTGCTCTGTGCCCCATTGGCCCGCCTACAATGCCTTCTAGTCCAGACAAGCTAAAACAGACCAGGAATCTGGCATCATAGATCTCACGTTATGTAGAAGATGTCCTGATACATGTTTATCCATATCTCATCATTGACAGAATAATAGAGGCAATTATTTATTTTAAATGTATATCTGACCATTTCAATTTCTGTACATATCAATAACAACAATATCCATAAAAAGCTAAAAACGATATACACTGGAGGTACCCTACAGGTACACAATCTTGACATCCCATATATGTGTGTGTGTGTGAATTATTTAAGACAACATTAATAACTCAAAAAATGCCTCTTGAAGCTAAGGCGTTATGAAAGGCATTTAATAACACAAAAAACACCTCTTGAAGCTAAGGCGTTATGAAGGGCATTGCACTCCACTGACAAGAAGTTGCTTGTGGTGCCTGGCCAAAGAGAAGTTGCTTGTGGTGCCTGTCCTCAGCCAGGGCCTTTTAGTGCCCTGGCCCCAACCTGGTGGAACTCTCTGCCTAGTAACATCTGTGCCCTGCAGGACTTGATGCAGTTCCACAGGGCTTGTAAGGCAAAGATGTTCTGCCAGGCATTTGGTTGAGGACAGCGATGGTGTCCATCTGGCTGGCATCCAATTGGCCACAGTGTCTACAAAATGATTTAACAAATAACAAAACAATGAAAAGTTTTGGATACCTACTCTGGACTTGATGGATTCTGTAGACTTCTATATTTCCTATGATGGATTTTATGTACAGATTTATTGCTGATTACATATGTGTTTCACTTTGCTGAAGTCTCTTTTTGTATATTTACTCATGCGGGTATTTCAGCACACAGTTGTTTTGCTGTTACTTACAAAATGATTTAAGACAAAGTTGCAACTGGTGGTTTAACTAATGTAATACAGTGCAGGGTGTCATCAGTGTATTCCAAAGCTATGGATGATCTCAGTTAGCTACCCTTTCTGTGTGTCTATAAACACAGACTAGAATAATCAAATGGTAAACCCAGTCTTTTGGCAATGACCCTATTGAAAAGTATCCACTATTTAAAAGTAGCCTTTAAAAAAACTATTCCAATTGTTCTGAAAAAGTCCACTTAAAAATACAGACATGGCGAATGCTTGTTAATGTTCCTTAATGGCAAAACTATCTGCATGTGGAAAGGTAGCATGGCAGAGAAAACAGCACATCTAGAACTGGCTTTTCAAATACAAAGAACTGTGGTATGGGAAAGAATTCCAACATATCATTTCCTACCTGCATTTTGATGTGGTGTAGTCTAAGAAGGGTTATACTTCGTGGGGTTTTTGAATGTGTGAATTAGCTCTTAGCTGACCAGAGAAAATAACTGAAACTATGTAGATGTCCTTCTATTAGTGTGGGGTTTTTTCATTCCTTGTTGCTTTCATGGTTTCAGGCAGAGAGTGGTGAGCAGGTGGGCTATCTGTGACTTACCTGCAGTGTATCAGTGTAGGCCCAGAGTCCTTTGCATTCTGCACATGTGCTTGCACCAGATCTATGAAGGTAATGATGGAAGTTGTGGACTCGGGGACACCATGATCAGGCCATGCTGTATAGTGCAGATGGGTCACTCCCCTCTCCTCTTTGAGCACTGCCTGTGATGGGAGGCCCACATTAGTGTTCAGCGCAATAAACAAAGGGGAATGCTCACTGCTGAATCTTCTCAAATGAGTCTGGGATCCTGTCTGTTACAATTACCTCTCAGTATGAGACATTGGAAATGCAGGTCCAGAAGCACTCACCCAGAGGAACTATGATAGAGGGGCATTTGTAGCAAAATATGCTTCTGTACTTTGCTGAACAGCCAGTGTGGTGTCACCTAGTTCCGTACTAGGATCTGGGAGACACAGGTTCAAATTCCCGCTCATGGGGTGACCTTCTGCCAGTTATTCTCTCTCAGTATAACCTACCTCACAAGGTTGTTGCTGTGAGGCCACATTATGCAAAACATTTATTCCAGATCCAGGGCTGCTGAGAGCCACCATGGGCCCCTGGACAAAGATTCCATCTGGGGCCCGCATATGACCCTGATCCAAACGAAATATTAGAACAAAACAACGTTGCTGGCTCTTACCACACATCTATAATAATAAAAGGATACACATAACCATCCGTCTGTCCATTTGTGGCAGGCATAGCTTATTAGAAAATAAAACTAGGATCCTCAAAACTGGCTACCAGCTTCAGGATGATTGTGGGAGTTTCAGGGCCAAAAATGAAAGGAACTGGGATATCCTGGCCCAAATTATCTCCAGACCCCACCCCACCCTGCTATTTGCCATGGAAGCTAAGCTAAGTGGTTAAAGTGTTGGACCAGGATCTGGGAGACCCAGGTTCAAATCCCCACTCTGCCAATGGAAGCCTGCTGGGTGACCTCAGGCCAGTCAAACACTCTCAGCCTAAACTACTTTGCAGGGAAGTTGTGAAGGCAAAACAGAGGAGACAAGAATGATGTAAGGCACTTTGGCTCCCCCTTGGAAAGAAAGGCAGGGCATAAATAAAGTAAATAAACATTCTAACTTCTGTTCCTCATTTGTTACCACTAAGGTAGATTAACATTCTGTTATCTTACGTGTAAAGGGTGGAGGGAGGGGAAGCCTGCTTTTACTACTTTGATAGATTATGTGAGAATATTAACTCCCCCCCCCCAGATCCATTCATAATATCAACAAAGGTTTGCTGCTGTACTACTGACAAATATGTTCTAAGTTGCCAAGCTGGATAGAAGAGTTCAGACTGAAAAATAAGGGGGTGTGGACGAAAAATTATAAGTGAGGATAGACAAAGGGGGAGGGGTGGAGTCTGAGGAGAGGAGGGATCTCAGAGGGGTAGAATGTTAAATACCTTCTAAGAGAGCAAAATGAGGGAGGAGAAAAGTGTGGACAAGAGTTAGGGAAATGAAGGAAAAGACAACAAAAGGTTTTTTTGGGGGGGAGGGGGGTTCCTACCACACTCTAACAGGACTGCCCCTTTGTAAGATGTGTGTGCAGGAGCTGGGTGACACTAAAGAAAGAGGGAAACCGTAGACATTGACCTTGTGAGGACTCTGCCTCTTGGCAATGACTAGCTTGTCCCGAGTTAGGGTTTTCAGGTCCCTCCGAGCAGCCAGTAGGGGAAGGGGTTGCACTTACCAGGAGCAGGGAAGAACACTCAGGATTTCTGTGACATGCCTATGTGATCAGAAGTGATGTAGACACATCAGGAGGTGATGCTCTGTTTTTTGGGTAAATTAGCTTCTACCATAAAGTTTTTGCCCCCAAACCAGAGCATCACCCCTGACGTGCCTACATCACTTCCGGGTCATGTAGGCATGTTGCAGAAACGCTGGGCCTTCCTCCCATGGGCCAACTGGCCGGCAGCAGAGAAGTGGGGCCTGGCAGTGGGAGACCCCCATACCCACCAGGGGGTGTCTGGCGTCCCTATGTTGGCTGTTCTTGCCTTGCTCCAGTGGTAGTTGACGGGTCTAGCAGGATCTGATTACCAAATGGTTTCCCTCAGCCTCATAGTAAACTTTGCAGAAGGGCTCTGCCTTCCCCACACCCCTAGTGAATACAGCATGACACTGGCTTCAGCTGACTTGGGTCCCCCGAATTTTGTCCCCCCCTCCCAGTCCACCTCACTCGGCAGTCCCATCCAGATCATTAGTGCTCCCTAGAACAGTACAGCTCTGCCATGTCCATTATATTTGCAGTTTTAATTTGGTAAACTTACTGGTAGCTGTCATGGTGGCAGAAAGACATGTGGGTCTTCTACTTACATGCTGGAGCTTGAACTCCCGTGTGGTCCACTCATCTGCAAAATTTTGAGCAAGCAAGTGGATGGTGATCTGTCCAGAAACGACGGGAGAAGTGTCCAAGGGCCAGTAGCATTCACAAAGCACCTAAGAGGGGAAGAAGAAATCCTTGCAGTACACATTTTCTACAGAAGCAGAACAATAAAAGCCAGAGACTGGCCGTGCCCGTACCAACGCACATTGGTGGATAACACTTCATATTTTGCGTCCTCGTTCCTGATCCTGTTCCTATTTCTGTCCACTGTGACACATTATACAGTGCATACAAGTTTGCCCTTTGTAAATCGCAAGAGAGTTTCATTGGTCTGCTTGAGAGCATTTGTGTGCAGCCACGCTCTGTTTAGACATTGCTCACTTTGCTGGCGTATGCAAAACCTAAACAGAAAGATGCAGGACACTTTCTTGATTTGAGCACCAAAATTAGTATTTATATTCAGAATTACTTTTTTATTATTATTACAAAAAGGAATTGGACCAAGATGCAAGTTGAGGCATTCAGTATGGCATGCATCAATTAGTGATGGCATTTACTTGAGGAAGTCATGTGAAAAAATGCACTGTGAACATTCCCTCAGATCTGGAAAGGTCTTCCTCCTACTGAAGGTCCAATCAAAAATACAAGAAATAATAATGAAAAAAGTACCCATTAAACCAGACTTATTTCGACTAAATATTATCCCAGAGATATACAATAAATCAGATATAGTGACGGCGGTGAGGATTTTATTTGCCAAATATCGGAAATTAGAAATAATATCTTCAAGGGAAGAATTTATACAGAAATTATTAGATATAGCTGAAATGGATAAATTAATAAATTTGTTAAAAGAAAAAGGTGAAGAAACTTTTGAAGATTTGTGGTCAAGATTCTGAGTGGTTGCGCTAAACTTTTATTTTCTAAGGAAACAATATGTTATGTAAATTTAAGGTGTTTTATTTAAACTGTAAATGGTTGGGAGATCCTCTGTATTTTCAAGAGATCTGATATATACGTCTTTTGTTGTGTATATAGAAAAATCTTTAAATAAACTTTTTTAAAAAGTATCTGGAAAGGTCTTGAGATCTTATTTCCACCATGGATCCTAGTGGTCAACCTGTATACCTAGAACACAATGACAGGAGGTGGGGAGTGGGGCTGGGGTAGGGTAAGCTTATGTCCTCCAAAGTGTTCCTTGGCAAGCTGTGTACACAGTTGAGGGCAGTTGCCCATTTATTGGAACTACTGACTGTCCTAGGATGATGGGAAGGTTTGAATTATCCCAAGAATATATTTTTTAAAAATCGTATTAATTATATGTAGAATAATGGACACATTATAAATATAATTCTAAAAATAAATCACAAGAAAATGTGACCATTGTGCGTGTCTCAGGTGTTGGTGTTTGCTGTGGACTATGGGGGAAGGGAGTGTGCGTGCGTGTGGGGGTGCCATGCAAGCCACATGATCATTGCAGACAACTCCTGTGGCCCACTCCTCTCTGTTCCCTGCCAGTGACAAATCCTTGACTCTTCCTCCTCAATTAATGGTTCCCATTGGTCCTGCCTGCCCTGTCTATTACGCTGCCTCCACCTAGCAACAGTGCCAGGACAGAATGCTGCAGCGGAAATGCCACAGATGCCACTGGGGCAGTGCCTGCCAACACCGACAGAGCACCTTTTCCCCCATTCGGCTGCTGCGTAGCTTTCCTCTTAGAGAAGTGACTAACAGCACCATAGCACAGGAACAAAAGTGGATTGCTTTGCCCATCATGTAGCCTCTAACTTGTTATTCTTCACAAGTGGAATTCAACAAGATTTCATAGATATTTCTTCAAGGATATTGTGTGTTTTACCAGATGTTTGACTATGCAGAATTAGACAAGTATAAATCCACTGATATCAATGGATTTAGCCTATATTAGCTGTGCGTGGGATTACTTTATAAATAATTTGCCACAATTATTTTCTCAGAAGGGATTAGTTCACACAATTGAAAATATGTGGTGGTGGAAAGTGCCATCAAGTCATAGCCAACTTATGGCAACCCCACAGTCTTCTGGGCAATACTGGTTTGCCACTGCCTGCCTCTGCATAGCAGCTGTGGACTTCCTTGGTGGTCTCCCATTCAAGTATTAACCACAGCTTAGCCACCGAGATCTGATGGGGTCAGGCTAACCTGGGCTATCCAGATCAGGGTGTTATTTATTTATTTTATTTATTTTTGGGATTTATATCCCGCCCCATCCCGTGTTCAGCTCGGGGCGGCTTACAAAGTTAAAATGTCAATACAAAACAACAGCATAATAAAAATATATCCAATATAAAATTTGGTGCTCAATTAATTTATATAAAAACCAAGATGGATGACGTCCCACACTGGCGGCCAAGTTCTTCACTGCAGGAGCACCAGGAAGAATATTTCTCAGCACTATTGGGCGACATCTACCTCATTCATGGGGTAGGTGGTTGGAATATCATTGATGGAACAGTGGCGGCGGCGGCTCCCCCTCAAAGGCCTGGCGGAAGAGCTCCGTCTTACAGGCCCTGCGGAACTGCACTAAGTCCCGCAGGGCCCGAGTCTCTTCCGGGAGCTCATTCCACCAGGTGGGAGCCGCCACCGAAAACGCCCTAGTCCTGGTTTGGGTCAGCTTCGTTTCTCGGGTGCCTGGTACCTCCAGGCGATGGAGGTTCCCCGATCTCAGTGCTCTTGGGGGAATGTACGGGGAGAGGCGGTCCCTTAGGTAGGCCGGACCCTGGCCATTCAGGGCTTTAAAGGTCAGCACCAGCACTTTGAAACGAATCCGGTATGCTATAGGCAGCCAGTGCAGCGCATGCAGCACCGGTCGGATGTGGTCTCACCTGGAGAGGCCCATCAACAACCTCGCTGCCGCATTCTGTTCATTTATGCAAAATACCCACACTCCCCCCCCCAAAGCTGAGTATGTCTGCGTGTATGTGAGGGGAGGGAGATTCTAAGCAGAAAACCAGCTAGAGGGAAAAGCCTCCCTCCTACTTCTTCTGGTTCAAGACTCCAGCTTCCAATGGCTGTTTTTTGTTTTTCTTAAAGATGTCAGCAGAAAGTTAGATCCATCTAACTTGGATGTCAGAATTCTGTGTGCACACAGATCTAGAGCAACAGACCTTTGGGAGTATTAATCAGAAGTCTTCACTCTATGTGCCCATCCACACCTATTCAGGAAGCACTAATAGTGCTGGACTGCCACCACATCACTGTTCCTTTTCTCTAACAAAAGACAGCCGGGTTTCCCCATCAGACTTACTCGTCCATTCTCCATACCCACAGTCAACATAACAATAGTGCAGACATGTTGCTCCCAGATCAGCCTCCAGAAGTCATCCACTGTTTTCCTCAAGGGTCCCTGACTGGCGATAAACTCCTGTGGGGAGTTGAAACCCTGAAAAAAAGGGCAGGCAGAAGAGTTAAAATAGATCAGCAAATGCTTTTCTTGGATGCACACAGTGGCATATATCCAGGAGCAGCATAGGATGATTACATCTCCCCAAATAGGCAAGGCTAAGATCACAGGCACTTGCTCATTTATAAAATGCCAATTGTACAGCCTCATGTTGCCTTGGAGCCATACGGGGTGGTGGTGGTGGTGGTGGTGGTAATTCTTCAACCTCCATTTGGTTTCACTGTTCTGCATTACTAGAGTTTTAAAGGAAAATATACCTGTTCCTTTAAATATATATATATTGTTATCTTTGAAATGCTATACTACAGTGGGGAAGCTAAATTTGAATAGCAAAGCCACATGGAGGCTGAAAAACTGAAACCCCCACTCCCTTTCTTGCAACCTCAAAGAAAACTGAGGCAGCTTGACCTTGGAAGTTGCATTTTATAGGCAGACCAAGATGTGTGGTCTTTGTCTCATCTGTCTGAGCTCATCTTTACCACTTTGAAAGGACATTGAGAACAATCCAGCAAAAGTTAATATTAAGTCTTACTGAGAGCAATTAAATGCAGTGGGACTTAGGGCACAACTGGATACGACTCTGGAGATTCACAATGGGATCTCCTGACTTCTTTAATTTTATTTGAAAGCAGTTGTATGGGAAGGGAAGAGATTAGACCAAGGCCATGGTGCTCGGGAAGGGTTTTTTTAAAACTCTTTCTTCCACACCATTTCTTCTTCTAAGGTACTATTTCTCCTGGAGGTAGGGGGAATATATGCCTTTGGATTAGGAAAATAGCATTAGGGGGAAAGGCTAGAAAAGTTCCCCCAGCATGGTGGCCCCAAATTTATTACAAATACGCCATCATATCACCACCAATACAATTCAAAACTTTGGAAGATCCAGTCATGGATTTCTGGCAAATCTAGCTGCAGCTTCATTTATGGCTGACTTTTGCTGGATTGAACTCATCTTCTGTGTTAGAATTATTCAAGTATATATCAACAAGAAGCCCCTATCATTATTAATAACAGGGGGTCTTCATTGCTTAGCTACCTCGATTATGATGAATTATGTTCTGGGAGTCCTTCGCTTCTCTTTTTTCATTATTTTGTTTAAAAGTGAGTTTTAGCTTTTCTGTTAATAGAGGAGAAATGAAGCTAAAAGACTTCCATGTTCTATACATTCCACATACCATTCAGAATAGGCACAGTGAGTAGGAGGGAAATACCCCAAGGAGAAGGAAGATTTTTTTCCCCTCTAAGTATTTGAGAATTTCTGGATTAGTGCACTGTGTAGGTTCTTTCAGACTAGAGAGACCCACTACCTTCCCTAGGTGTGGTCATATTCCTCAAGGATAAGAATGGCAGGTGTTCAAGGTATGTGAGGGCTTAGACTTGTCAAGGTATGTGAGGACTTAGAATTGTAGCCTCATTGAGCAGAAGAACTGAAGATCATCTTGCCCAACCTACAGCTCAGTCCTTCACACACCACTTTATATTATACCATTAACACTCTCTCTCTCTCTCTCTCTCTCTCTCTCTCTCTCTCTCTCTCTCTCTAAGAGGTATTAAACCGTATCACACATGCTACAGTATACTGTGAGAAGATAGCAGATATCTGGAAAGGCGGGATATAAATATAAACAATAAATAAATAAATAAATAAATAAAATAGCAGAATCAAAGAAGGGGTCACTCAGAAGATGTCCCTATGTAATTAATGGAATTGTTTAGTAAAATTGTTCAGATTGCTCAAACGAGTGAACCAATATTCTTTAGAGGATGGCAAATTATTCCCTACTCCCTGCCTCATACCACTACTCACTAGCTAACAGGATGTGTTCTTGCTAGTCAAAAATATCTTGAAAATAAAGCAAAACCACCCACTGAAACCCTGCAACAAAAATACACTTAGTCTTCTAGTCCACCCTATTTAATATCCATCTTCCATATGTGGCAGGGCAATTATTTGTCAGGAGAAAGACTGATCACCTCTCCCTTGTCCACTATTGCCATGTTAACACCCACCCATAAGAACATAAGAATTATTTAGCTGGATCAGACAGAAGTCCATTCAGTCCAGTATTCTTTTCCCAATAGTTGCCAGACAGCTACACGGATGGGAGACAAATCAGTCCTTTGCTAAGGAGATTTGTTTCCAAGCTTAGTGGATATACAAATTAAGCACAGTGTTCTGACACAGGCATGCAAAATGTAAGTGCTCTGCCCATGCACATACAGACATATTCTTTGCATCATGTACACATGGACAGACTAGTACATGCCAACATTAGTACTGCATGCACACACATAAAAATATGGTTTTAAGCCATTACCTGGGTAAATTACCAGAGAGGCATGAAGGATACATCCAAGCTCTTTAACATGCAGCTGTGCACAGCAGGAGGAGAAAGAGGAAATGGAAAGGGAAAACAGTAACATTTCAGAGCAGTGGGGCCACTTTTGAAAGCACCCTCACTACTTTTATTCCAACATACCCATTCCTGTCCATGGGCAAAGTCTGAAAAAAAGAACAGTTCTGCAAGTTTGAAGCAAAAGGCAGCTGTGCACTGTAATGATTGGCTGGCCCCATAGGCGTAATCTTCGTGGGGGCGGTGGGGCGTTACTACCCCCCCCGCCGAAATTTTCAGGAAGGTGCTCAGCCTCCCCCGGGAGCCACCCTTGCTCCTAGCAAGCAATGCCTCTGGCCCAGCCCCAGCCCCCCACCCCCGGGAAATTGGAAAGTCTACACCGTTGGCTATGATGTCATCAAAAAAACCACCTTCCCTCTCATTCCCACAGCAATTTTGCACTTTTAGGGGGAAATTCCTTTTTTAAATTAACAAGGAGATGAATGAGTGCATATAAACATTAAGTTCATGCTTTAAAATATAAAAAGGGCAGACAACCTGCCTAAAACGTGGGAGGAAGGGTAAGACTGACGGCTGAGACAGCATTCCATTTGTTGAAAGGTATAGCTGTTATTACACTTGTGAAACCTGGCTTATCAAGTGGCTTAGCAATATCCTTTTAAGTTCTCTTTTTATACTGCATCTGTCTACAGCAGGAAACAGGCTAATACAAGCTATCCAGCAAAGAGTGTCCACATCCAGGCCAACCTCCAGATTCTGTGTACACCCACATGCACACCACATACACAAACACACCTCAATGGATATTCTGTTCTCTCTGTGCTGGGTATTTTCTGGCTTCCCCCATGTTCCCCTGCCTTTGACAACTGTCTTTGGCAAATCCCACCTAGGTTCAGGCTGTTCAACAGCCACGTGCCCAGGTTCCAGTTCTCTAATGGTTTCTCATACTACAGCAATGTTGCTCTGTGTGGAGTTCTCAGTAGCCCTGTACACGCGACACAGGAGAGTAAAAGTCCAATGTGCACAGCAGGGTAGTGGAGGCAAGCACCTTAGTCCTACCTAGGGTTGCCAGCTCTAGCTTGGGAAATACCTGGAGATTTTGGGTGTGGAGCCTGGGGAGGGTGGGGTTCAGAGATGGAAGGAGCCTCAGCAATGTATAATGCCATAAATTCGACCTTCCAAAGTAGCCATTTTCTCCAGGGAATCTCTGTTGTTTGGACACCAGTTGCAATTCTGGTAGATCTCCAGCCACCACCTGGAGGTTGGCAGCCCTCATCTCACCTGTTTGCAACCAAGCTGCTCCCCAGAATGTATTTTCTTCACAAGGACTCAGTGCTTACACAGTAACAAATTATACACAAGTAGGATCTGTCCCTGTGATTGGGACGCTGCTTCTCAAATATTTCCAATCACCCAACAGCGCCTATCCATGTACATATATAAGCACTATCCTATGTAAGATGCAGGCAGGGATGGCACCAGTGTACTCATTCCCCACTGTACAGGGCCATCAGCCACATGTGATGGCCCTGCATACATATAAGTTGTGAATATAGGGCTACCATACAGACAATAACATAATATTTCTACTTATGAGGAGCTTTTCAGATTGTGGTGGAATGCTTGAACTCACTGGTACAAAGTTGGCATTGATATAGTCAGAGTGGGGTTCCCCATCCAGGAGGTTCAGCTTTACACGGGTGTAATCATCTGCAATGAGACCAGAAAGCCATCATGTAGGAAAATATCAGGAGGTATGTAGGACAATACTAGGAGAGGTTCATCAGAGGAACCATGCATTGTGAATCTTTTAGACTTTCCTTTAGAGGGCCAGGACTAGGTCCCTACTCTGGTACCCATTCCCTGCTTAGCTCTTGTTAAAATATAGCAAAACATTGAGAATAGCAAGTTAGACATGTGTGACTGTGGCCAAATCTTACAAGGCAGAACATGGGGGTATCGGTTCTTGCAGAGGTTGTCAGGGTGTTCAGCTTCTGTTTTTGGTTGCTCTTTCCCCACTTCTTTCAGCTCCTGTAGGACACAAGGAAAGAACTTCCTTAGTGTGACTACTGTCTTTCACATTCCCCTAAGAGAACATAAACCAGGCTCCATTATAGTGGGACAAATACCTCTAAGCTATCCAAGGCATAATCTAAAGGATGGGTTGTGTCATTAATTAAAGGAACAACTGGACCTAAACCATTAATTTTCCCCAAATCGAGTGCTATCTGAAAGACTGGTGCTTTCTCCCATGGAAACAGCCTGCTCATACCTCTGACTCATTTCCTACTATGACAAATAACTCTCTTACTTAAGGTCAAGCATGTGAACCTATTATCTACATAATGTCATGTAGATCTTTTAAGCTAGGATTTAGGTTGAGCTAGTCTATGTAAGGCCGGTGTGAGGCTACAAGGATTTCAGGGTAGTTCATTAGGGACACCACTGATAATGGTGTGAAACCAAATTTCATGGCTCTTATTGTTCCTCAAAATTCCCTGTCAAAACTATTCAAGTGAGATTTTGAGCCAGCTCTTCAATTCCTCTTGTCTTCCTACTCTTTAAACTGAGGGTATATAGGTAACTAGGGGCTCTCTGAAATATGTTCTCCTTTCACCCTGCACATACTGCATGGAAGATAGAAGGTCTCTGCCTTCCAGGTTAAGTCATGCTTACTGACACCAAGTAGTAAGAACAAAGAATAGGAGGATGTTTTAGGCCTCAGTCCAGGTTGGGCAGATCTTGTTGTCTTTCCTTGGCTCTGACAGGTAATTAAATTTATATCTCTGGACAACATGTGAAACAATCTACAGATGATAACAATGTCATCTGATTACAGCTACATAGCCAGCCTTGACCAAATCTGACCTAGAAAAAGCAAAGGCAATTACCTCAAAGTCCTGAAAGAACCCATGATTGGAGTTTGCTGCCCTTGCCTCATAATACTGCCTGAAACTTTGTATGGGGATGGGCCGGTGAATATTTCTGTAAGGAATAAAAATACAGAGCAGAGAGGGGTATAAAGCCATGCAAGTATTGAGCAGGAGCCTTCTAGGCAGAATGAGGATGCTAAGAGGTGGCAATACAGACACACAACAAACCAGGGACAATCCAGTTATTACACAAGGGTAATTGCATCTCCTTGCTGGGCCATATTGGAATAACCACTCATTCACATCTGCTACTGTCCTCTCAAAAAAAACCTGCCCTGCTGCCTGTGTTAGACGGCATGCTTGAGTGAGCAGGGAAACAGAAGAGTAGCTTCGCTTACCTCAGACTGTATGTAGCCATTTCTTGCGGCATGTTACCCTTCTCCTTTCTGAAAGCAAGAGACATGGAATGTTACTTCTTGGGAGGAAGGGAAGCATCTGGTTTATTACAGATGCTTCCTTCTTCTAGCAGCGCAATTACACAATATATCAGCACATGTGTTCCTCAACCTGTGTTTGCCAAAACAACTCAAATGGAGAGAAGCTTGTGAAGAAGAATGAGTGGGTGACGGAAGGGTTAAACTCTACTGACTGTGGGTCCTTCCCTAATGCTGCCTGGTTCTGCTATGACAAGGGAAACATGAGATTGCAATGAAAAAGAGAAATCTGGGTTTATTTTCTTCATCACATGTCATTTCACTCTTACAGTATGTGCTAAACGTCATTCAGGCCCACAGAATGGTTTCTTTTATTCCTTCAAGGTTTTGACCTATACAGCAACTAATGATCATGGTATTCAATCTGCACTGTTATTCAGATAATTTAGGCAATTTCTCACTTCTTCTTTAATATGATGTACTTCAGAGCAATTCACAGCAGGAGATTCTATCAAGATGGGTAGCCGTGTTAGTCTGTCTGTAGCAGTAGAAAAGAGCAAGAGTCCAGTAGCACTTTAAAGACTAACAAAATATGTGGCAGGGGTATGAGCTTCCGTGAGTGACTGAGTGATTTCTTCAGATACTTCACTCACGAAAGCTCATGCCCTGCCATGTATTTTGTTAGTCTTTAGGGAGATTCTGTGTTGACCATTTATTTCTCTCCTTCAGAGTTACCTAGAAGTTTTTCTTGGCTGCTTCCAAGGCCCAGCTCACAAGAAGAAAATCCCACACTGGGATGCTCCTTCCCTAGCAGCACCGCTTGCGACTTCCCTTACCTCCTTGACTTCAAATGCTTCATGTAGACCAACCCAGCAATTGCTGTGACTGTCAGGAGGAATCCCACGATGATTCCAGCCATAATTGGAGCAGATAGCATAGCAGAGTCCATGGAGGCATCTGCCGCTGGAATCCAAAATATTGAGAAGAGGTGAGGGAACTTTTCCACAGGGCAAAGCAATCTTTAATATGAAAATCTCACACACACTCAGGATCCCTCCCACACATTCCTTTGGAAGCATCGAGATTAACACATGAATCAATGATTAAGGAATTCTTCCAAGTAACTGATGGACACATATCTGATTAAATGGGAGATGCAGGTAAGGTCCGAGGGAAGTGGTTAAGAAACTATAAGGCTAGTTTATCCAGCAAACAACCCAAAATAGACAAACAATCTTACCTGAGAAGGCTGTGAAGGACACTTTGGGAGACCACTGATTGTAACTTGTGAATGCGGCAATACTGAACCTACAGCAGGACAAAACTGGAGAATGAGCAAGCCAAGTCTCATCATCACTACCTCATAGATTCTTCACTTTTCTCACCTAAACCGTTAGTTTTAGTCCTAGACCACATTGTCATCAGAGCTGAAATGGCTACAGAACAGTTCATAAAGCCAGTAGAGAATAGGTTTAGTTACAGCACTGGCATCTTCTCATCCTTTATCTCACACCTTCTCACACAAAACCAGTATACTTCAGAGTAGCAAATATAGGGTATAATAAACAGGAGTGGCTGTTTTCATCATACACAACATGAGTTTCTCAAAGATGTCAGTTTAACCATTGACAAAGACAAGAGTGCTAGACTAGCTGTTGTCCATCAACACATTTTGTATGCCTTACCTGTACTGTGTGTCTCTCTTCAGTTTTCCATTGCAGGTTTTCTGCAAGTGACTGCATTCCTCTGAGCCAACAGTCACTGGCCAGGCCTTGGGACCGGTGCTCTCATTGAGATGAAAGGGGTTTGGCACTAAGACAGCTAAATATGAGTCTTCTTGCCCATAATAGTGGTCATACCATGTGTGGGAGACGATGTCTTGGGTAGGTCTCAACACTGTAGATTCAGAGAGAAGCACTGCACTGTTATTACAACTGGGGCAGCAGTACAGATTCCCCAGTCAGCATGGAATGTGGCACAGAAGACACTTACAAGATTCATTAGTGGTGACAACGACACCATAATACTCTATGCGGCCATTCTCCTCGCTGAACATGTCGGGGGAGATGATGACTCTAGCGCTGGCATCAAATTCTGGGATGTCTGCTAGCACAGGAGGGGGAAGGACTGCAGTGGAAAGACGGAAAGTAAAAAAATAAATCACCAGTAGATGTTGCCATAGATGTATTCATAATAATAATAATCTATTCTGCCATTTTATTGATGCTAGATCACTGTTTTAGATCTTCATTTATCATTTTTATCTGTTGCTCTATTTGATTTTATGGATATTCTTTCTGTTGGTTCCCCCCCCCTTTCTAGTCATTGTTTGTTTATTTATTTCATTTATGAATTAAACTTCTATCCCACCCTACCCCACAAGTGGGCTCAGGGTGGCTCACAACATATACATCTCTCCCTTATAATAAAAGAGTAGTGGGGACCAACGTTCTAAAATGCGCACCGTTAGTGTATGGCCGGAAGAATCGCAACTCAGAAGACACTGGCTGCGATGGCTGGCTCCCTTAGGGCAACTGGGCTCCCATTGGCTGGGTGGCTGGGAGGGGAGGGACGAGGTCTCAGTCGCCTTGGAGTGCCTGGACTGCGATGATGCTGACTAGAGGCCCGGCGATCGGAGCCTGTAGGCTCCAGTCGCCCCTTCCGTTCCCCCACCCACCCACTAGACGCCCGGTGATTGGAGCCAGTAGGCTCCGGTTGCCGGCTCTGTTCACCCCTGCACCCACTAGAGACCCGGCGATCGGAGCCTGT